TACTCCTAACAGCCTACGCGCTAAAGCCTACGCCGAAAGCCCTACGCCCTCCGGCCTACGCCCTCAGCCCTATGCCCTCAGCCCTAACAGCACGCGCCCTACGCCTAAGCCGCACAACTGTGCATGCGTCGAAGGGACGTGTACGAACACGAACATTCCTGGAGCCCAAGGGGAGGGGGGGCAGCTTACTGATGCCCCCAACTCGTCCTATATAAAGTGGAAACCATAGGAACAACCGCGACTAAAAGCTAAAACGTATCCTTTTGTCTGGAAAACTAGCGACTTTTTTTTCAAAACAAATGGCGCTGGACTTTTGCATGTGCACCTACAGGCGGCGCGGCATTCGCATCACAGACGATTCACGGTTTCAATTCGCCTGCGTTGCTTGTTCAGTGTAAGCCGTGGCATCGGGCACTTGGGGCCGCATCTCGACTCGCGGCAAACAAATTGCATCTAAATCTAGACTTCCCGTCCACACGCCGCGAAGGATTACAACCCATACAGTTGGATTAGTTGATTCGCACCAGTTCGTACAGTCATGTGTATGTAATTGGCATGGGCAAGCTCACGGGTATGCAATTGATTGGGGCAGGCGGCTGTCTCGCGAAGCGCGGCGTGTATTGGGAAGGGCCCTGTTGCCCTCGGCGCACGCATCAACCTAGAACGACACATATGGAGAAGCCTTTCCTGTCGGGAAACCTCCTCCCCGTCCACCCCTTGGGATGGCACTGTTTCCTCTTTGGTGTGTTCCTCTTTACTTTTCTGGGGGTCTTATTTGTGCTAAACCAGACCATGGACCGTTTGAAATGGACCCTGGTGCTGAAACGGACCATGGCCCGTTTGAGACGGACCGTGGACCGTTTAAAACGGACCGTTTGCAACGGATTCAAGTTACGTTTTGGGGCGGCCCTACGAACGCATGTTGGGGGATGGGGTCCCGTTCATTTTATTGCGGCCCTAGTTTCTTTTAGGTTGGTGGGCGGAAGAGCGTGGAGACAGGGTACGAGAGGGGAGGGGGCGGCCGAGAGGATGGCACTGGCACTGGAAGTAGAGAGGAGTGGGACGTGCAGCAAGACAGCACACGTGTCAATGACAAGGGATTGCCACGACAACCAGGGCCACGAAACCGATGCCGATGCCGACGGCGAGACGCATTTAGGCACGCTCAGGCTCCGAGTCTGGCTCGAGGGGCGCACAGTCCGTCCGCTGGGGCCTCTCCTTCGAGAGCAGCTCCAGCGCCACATCCCCTCCGAGCTTCAACTCGTCCCGAGCCTTTCTGCGATCACCAAAAGGAGGGACGTAGTCCGCCAACCCTTGGGGCGATGCCAAGCTGTGAGGGAGCCCCGTCGTTGTCGTGGTCTTCGTTGACGTTGTCTTCGTTGACGTCGTCGTCGTCGTTGACGTCGTCTTCGTTGACGTCGTCTTCGTTGACGTCGTCTTCGTTGACGTCGTCGTCGTCGTCCCTCATCGGTGTACTCCTGTCGTCGTCTTCGTTGACGTCGTCGTCGTCGTTGTTGTCGTCGTCGTCTTCGACGTCGCCGTCGTCGTCGTCGTCGTCTTCGTCGTGGTCGTCGTGGTAGTCGTCGTCGTCGTCGTCGTCGTCGCGTCACCCGCCTCACGCGTGCCTACGCACGCTCGTGCCCCCCCCATTCCCCCTTTACGTGCCCGAACGCCCCCCCCCTGGAAGCCAGGAAGCGGCGACTGTTTCGCGACCAGTCGGGGACTGAAGGGGGGGGTGATGGCCAGGCAGGGAGCTACGCCGCGGGGGGGGGCTCCGATAACGCCGAAGGCATACGGATCTTTATGCTGGCCAGGGTCGAGATCCTGACCAGCTTGAATCCAAGCTAACAGGTGTCCGCAGGGTCGACCCTGCCACGGCTTCCTAAGAATGTGACGCGCATCGATTTCAGTGCTCTTGCGCGTCCTGCGACACATGGGGTGAAACCTGCACGTGGCTTCGAAATCAAACGACTTATACCACGTGATTTTATGCAAGTTGCCGTTTACAGGAGGGCCCACAAAAAATGTGACCTGGCGATCTTCTGGACCCAAGTCTGGAGGGGGAAGAGGTGGAGGAGGTGGGGGAGGAGGCGGCTCGGGAGGCACAGGTGGCGCCTCTGGCGCCGCAGGTCCAGGGTCGTCGGGGCCGTCGGGGTCGTCGGAGCCGTCGGAGCCGTCCCCGAACTCCGAGATGTCCGCCCCGAAGGCGCCCTCCTGGAGGGCCTCCTCGCCGCCGCCAGCCTCGGGGGCACGGGAGGCGGCGGCGCGGCGGCAAGGGTAAGAGTCAAGAGAGGGGTGCCAGGGAGTAGGGAGTAGGGAGCAGGGGAGCGAAGCTTGAAGGACGTGAACAGAAGCGATGGTGAGGGGATGAGGACGTAAAGAGGGGAGGCAATGGGGGGGGGCCGAGGGGCCTCCCCTCGCCCCCCCCGCCCACCCCCTCCTCGCCATCCACAGGCTCACCATCCTCCCCCTACTCCCTACTTCCTACTCCCCCACCCCGTCCTTCCTCTAGAATCTTAGTTCGAATTCGCGCCTCGTCATCGCTCTCGCCGTCGGGCCTGTCCTCGTGGCCCTCCTCGAACAGCTCGTCATCAGACTTCTCGTCGACGTCGCCGGCGTCGCTGGCGTTGCCGACGCCCTCGTCGACCTCCGAAGGGCAGTCGCCATCCTCGATGTCCAGAAGCGGCCCGGCGCCTCCAGCAGCGTGAGGATCGGCATCCTCAAGCGCAGCACCTCGACCGCGAGCCCGACCACGCGCGGCGCCACGGCCGCGCGCGGCCCCGCGGCCCCGCCCACCGCCAGCAGCAGGCCGCCCTCGGCCGCGCCCTCGGCCGCGCCCTCGGCCGCGACCTTCGCCAGGAGGCGGCGGCCACACGGCCCAGCGCTGGTCGGGCCAGCGCAGGGCGAGCACCAGCCCAGGCACGAAGCTCGCGAGCGGCCTGGCATGCTCCCGCAGCTGCAGCACCTCCATGTGGAGGTCCGCGTCGGCGGGGAGGGCCGCCGCGAGCTTCCACGCGCACACCCACCCCGCAGACGCCTGGCTGGGCGGAAAGGGCAGGGGCGTGGAGGAGGTGAGGACTCCAGAGGAAGAGCTGTGAAAGAAGGATTGCGAGTGGATGGCGAAGGCTGGGGAGGGGCTGGGCGAGCGAGAGGGCGAAGGGAGGAGGACGGTGGAGGGAGAGGAGGGCAGGAGGAAACGAACAGTTGGCATCAATTTCTCCGTCGAGGGAGGGAGGGAAGGAGGAGGATGGAGGAGCATGGATGGGGAGAGAAGAGCAGGGAGGAGGAGAGACACACGATGAGGAGGATGCCATTAATTGCTATCCCGCGTGCCTTGAGCACCACCTCGTCGCCGTCGGGCCTCGCGACGACGGCCTCCTGGGGCTCGGCCTCCGTCATGCGCTGCAGCATGGGGAAGTACGGAGCCAACGACAAGTGTGAAACGTGGAAGTACAACACATCTAGATCGTCGTCGCCCCAAAACTCAGCCAGCTCCGCCGCGCGATCATCCGTGTGGGTCCTCGCGAACTTCAGGAAGATCGAGCCACCGACCAGCAAGGTACGCCGAGCGGTGTCTGGCAGCTTGGGGAAGGCAAGCTTCATGCATCTGAGAATTGAATTCCGTAAACGAGTCAAACGTTTGCCGTTGGCACCGCACAGACACATTCCAGCAAGAAAACAAGGTGTCTCTTTTACCTCATCTGGCTCGTCATCGGTGTCTTTGTCATCATCTGCGTCGATGTTGCGGTGCATGTGGACCCAAGCGGCCTCGAGCGAGCCCATCAAGTTGTGGTGCTTCACGCCAATGTCGCGGCAATACTGGACCAGGCCATCGGCGTCACGCGCTGGCCTCTTGGCGTCACTGTGGAGCGCAAACGCCCCAGCGACAGGCGCGGGCACGGCCAGCAAAGAAGACACAGTAGGCGAACCGCACATCTGGGGCACTGCTGATACGAATTCATCTCTCCACTGATCTGACTTCGCAGCTGTGAACTTCTGTATCGCGTCGTCGTCAGCTTTCCGAGCCGCCGCCAACGTGCGGCCCCATTGGCTCTTCAGTGCTCGGACCTCGGACACAGCCTCATCTGCTGGCTTCCAATGCGTCCTCGCGTCCTGGGCGAACTTGTCCAGCACGTCCTTCCCGCTGCTCGGGTCGGGCTGGTCGGAGCCAACTCTAACGGCCAGCGCGTGCTTCAGCGCGGCGCGCTGCAAATCCCGCCTGGTCGGGCCGAAGGAGTTGGCAGTAGTGCCGCGCCGCCGCCGCAGCAGTGTAGCTCGCCTGCCCTCCTCGATGCACTGGGCCATCACCTCGTCGCCGACCGCGGCCTTCGCCGCGCGGTACAGCTCCCCGACGCGCGACAAGTCGGTCATCCCCATGCGCCTCACGAATGCTCGCCAGGCGCCTCCACCAGGCCCAGGGGCATCCTGGCCCTGCTCCTCGGCGGCGCCACGCGATGGGCCTCGCCCCCGATCGGCGCGCCGAGGCTGCGAGCTGGCGGGCCCGCTGAGGCCACAGGGGTCCAGTCTCACCTGGTTCGCGAGCCACTTCCCGCTGAGGCCCATGGTGTCCTCCTGTCGGCACTGCACCCGCTTGGTGGTAAACCGCCTGATGTGGGATTGCTTCACCTCGAGACGGTCAGTGTTCATCGTGAGGAGTACGAGGTGCAGAGCCAACTTCATTCGACTAGACTCGGCCTCTAGATCATTCTCTTGCATGAAATGATAACTCCAGCGGTCCAGGAGGCAAGCGGGCCTCTCCTTTAAGGCTTTTGCCAAGGTCGGCTGGTCAATGGACAAGAAGAGGCTGAAAGGAGGCGCAGCATGAGCGGATGCCATGAGCTTCTCGGTGAGCGCGCCCAGGCGAGACATGCTCTTGAAGCATTGCGTTTTCAAATTATTCGCCAAGTCAGCCTCCCTCAAGAGAATCCATACACCCCTGTTGAAGAACAAGATACGCAACTGTCGAAAAGCTCTACTCTCGATTTCCATTCGGGCGTGCACTAACACCGAGAAATCACGTTGAAGAAAACGTCTGTCTCGGTCTCGATCAGGGTCTTGCCGAACCGCTTCGCGAGCTGCCCGAGCATCTTCGCGCTGGTTCCACCGCGCAGAGCCAATGTACAACTCCTGACGCTGCATCCCCTGCACCACTGACAGAATCATCCGCAAGCATACTAGCTGGCTGCAGGGCGATGCGCCCTTGCGGTGCAGATAATCCAACACTCGTGTTCTACGGGCTGCATTTTCTTTTGCCCAAAGATAGGCACTTCCAGAAGACTGACCGTCGCCTCCAGCAGCAGCTCGATCGGCATTGAAAGCAACGAGTGCACAGCCACCGCCGTCGTCACCACCTGGGATCACGCCAGCACCAATTGGGGCATTATCCGACGACGGTCTACCATTCATTACTGCACAAAAGTTCTCGTATACAGGGATCAAACAATCACCGAACAGAACCATCAACGCGACTGCACAAGTAGCTTCCTCCGCCCCCATCCATTTGCTCCTCATGAACATCTTCGGAGGACGGTTTGCGAAAGCATGACAGATCCCAGCAATGGCCTTCTCTTTCAGCACCTCCTTGTCGCATTCGACGCCAGGCGGTATGAAGATCACGATCTCGTCCGCCGAGGGCCTTACATCCCAGTCGCACGTGGCGAGTGCTTCTAAAATAACCCTGACAGTCCATTCGCACCCGCTTGACGGGATAAACCATTTCAAGATAAGATGCCGACGAGCCTCGACGTCACGCAAATTGAAACCCTCCCTGACCACAATCTTCTTCCTCAAGTACAGTTCCAAGCAGGACCGAAATACTTTCAAACACCCAGGGGACATGAGCGACAACGTCAAATTTATCATGAACGAAATGCAATCCTCGAACAGAAACGTTGATTTGATCCTCATGCCTTGAAGCATGTGCTGCCGACACGGTACGAGAAGTGACCTCATCGATGGCGCTCTGCTGAAAAGCCGTGTCCGCATGCGCCTCTCCGCGGCCAGGTTCGAGAAATGACGATCGATTGAAACCAGTCGGGTTCCGGACTCAAAGAGAAGATCTGCTAAACCCATCGAATCTGATTCTTCCAAACACCGCAGCACCGTGCCTGGCGTATAACGCAACATCGCCTGGAGATGGCACAACGTTCGCCCGTAGAGCATGAGATATTTGGTGACACCACGAACCTCCTTGCTGATCAAGATGCCCCAATGACGCTGCGTTTGCATAATCTTCGTTGGCACCGATGTCTGCGAAGACGGAAGCAGCTTCAGGAAGGAGTCGGGCAAGGCGAACTCCGCAGTGCTGGGAGGGGCGACGAGACCCCCAGGCCGATCAACTTGGCGCAAGCGGAGGGGCGTCTCGTCATAAGCTACATAATCGATCACGTGGAGCGCCTTGGCGACTGATGACCGACAACACGATTCAACCAACATCTTACGGTAAAGACGGTCGTGGAGCCAGACCATGCAATTCAAATGCACAGAATGCTTGTGGAAGGTCTCCAACGATACTCCAGTTCTCTCGCACTGCAAAGATGCCGTGGCGAAGGCCAGCGGCCGAGAAGCAGGGTCGTACAACGCAGTCGCAACATCTGACGGCCCAGGCAAGGCATCTCGAAATCGCTGCACCTCAGGATCAGAACTGAGACCGCCGATGTGCGCTAGCAGCGGGTGGCTGGTGAACGGCACGGGGCGGCTGCACATGTCTCCAGCGACGACGGGCGGCACGGACACTCCACGAGCACGCTGCGCCTCTGCCTCTCGTGCCTCTCGCCGCCGCCGCTTTGCCTCCCTCGCTGCCTCCTGCGCGACTCTCACGTCGCCTCGCCTGCGCTGCAGGCCGACGGCGGCGCCTGCGATGCCCGCCGCGGGCGGCCCTGGCGCCGCCATCCATCTCTCAGTGGATGGTCGAGGCGTGGCAGACCGTCGAGACGAACTCCGTCGTCTGCGAAGAAACTTGGCGACGCAAAATGCGTGCCGAGAGCACGTTTGATTCAAAACGGCGGCGGAGGAGGGTGAGGAGGATACCAAGGGCAAGCTACTCGCCTCTGCTGCCGAAACTTGTTTTCTGCTCTCTCTCTCCCTCGCTCTCTACAGTTCGGGCAATTCTACAGTCTCCCTCGCTCTCTCTCTCCCTCGCTCTCCACAGTCTCTCCCTCGCTGTGGGCGCGAAAATCCCCGCCCCAACACTGGAGTCCTGGCCTCAGAACGCGTGAACGAAAGGCGGGGGGGTGAATGGAGCGGGGTTTCCGAATGCAGGACCAGGACAGGAGAGGGGAGCTTCTTAATGCAGGAACGTTGCAACCAGGAGTAATTTTCAAAACGCACGACGTTGTTTTGATGATTGTTTGGGGGCATGCGACAAGGTGGGCGGAGAGGATTTTCGGAGGATGTTCTTGGAAGTCGCAGACCTACAGAACCTAGCGGGTAGCGAGAATATAATGCTACGCGGATGAACGAGTACACGGCACCCAGAGCGCTCAAAAGTTCCCGCCTGATGAGGCCCCGAGAGGTGTAGTGCGATATGACCCTCCGGAGCGTGTCCCCAGTACAGCGGTCTTGCCTCAAGATCTCCTGGATGCCCAGACGCAACCTCCACCGTGAACGAGGATTCAGCCCGATGACAGCATCATTCGAACCAAACTCCCAGCCCAAAGTCTGACCACCTACTCCCTCCTCGACCTCATGCGTAGGCAACCCGACTCGATTTAGTTCGCGGCCCACGGCCCTGGCGATGTCCCCAGCGCGCTCCATAGACCGTGACAGTGAGACAAAATTGTCAACGTACTCAGTGTGAATGAAATCATTGCTCAAACTCGGGGCTGGTCTACGATCAACAAGGAGGTTATGTGTACTGATGCCCGGGACTAGAGAACTGATGTGCTCATTCAAGGTCTGACAGATCCAAAGGCTCACGCTCCAACCCATGGGCGGACATCGGAAACATGGAACCACCTTTTGCGAAGGATGAACGGGGGTACCCTCGCCAACGTGAGAGAGATTGAAGTCGCCTGCTCTGACGGGCGGGAGGCCGAAGTATTTTTGCAACCATGGAGGCAACAGGATGTTGTAGAAAGCATCCGCGATGTCTACGCCCGCCACTGCGATTGGGTCATCCCCGTCTACGGCGATCTGGCTGAAAGCACCGCCTGAGGCTAACTCAACTTTGTCGGCCTCGCCGAAGCGCAGTGACGAGTAGCGGCCATCTAAGATCATCCTCAGATCGCCATTTTTCTTGTGAACGAAAAAGAGCCCGACCGAGCACTCGCAGTCCAGCTGGAAACTCACCAGGTTAGAGTCCACCAGCCGTCGAAGCACTCGCTGATACAGCTTAGGGTTACGAAGGTTGGGATCAACGTATAGCCGACGTGGTCCCTCAGTACGGATGCGGTCCAACCCCTGTTCTCGGGGTAGCAACAAATCTTGTAAACGTTTGGCGATCACCCGGCCCACATCACCAGCCAAATGCTCTAGCGTCTGTGGAGAAGTCGTAGCAGCAGGCAGAGAAATGCGGTCGACGTTGTCGAAGCCAACCGGGGCGATGGCCACGGCCTCCCCGTGGTACGCCTGAGACACCCGAAGCTCCGCAAGGGCTCCTGGGCCGTCGAGGTCCATCGGCGGCTCTCCGAAGCGGCGAACCGCATCTTCCAGCTCCCGGTGTACCTCGGCATGGACAGCAAGCAGCGGCTCACCAGCGGCACGACGCGGAAGGTCGTCATGTCCACTTCCACCCAGGTACATGTCGTTGAGAGTCACAACTATCTCATTCACCATGTCGAGCCTGTGGTGGCGGCGGTGTACCCGCCGAGCAGCTGTCCGAGAAAGGGTCTTCGTGTTCTGAAGCTCTGTAGAGGAAGAAGCAGGATCAAGGCGAAGAGGAATCGGGAAGACATCGCGCTGGCGACCATCCCGGCAAGAAGAGTAGCGGCCCCCACGTACATCACGGACTCCAGGCGGGGAGACTGAAGCCGCCCTCTGTTGCATCTCGGGCGGGTCGAGGGGCATCCCGTCCGAGGTCACTCTCATTGCCCCGAGAGGGCGCGGCGCTCCTCACGCGCTTTGCGCAGCGACTTGAGGATGCCCGCGTCCCTCTCTACCATGGCGGACACGTGGTGTAGAAGGTCAGGACACACCATCATCCTGCCATCCTCCTTCGATGTCCCGGCGAAGGCGGAGGCCTCGTCCAAGAAAGCGAACTTGGCGAAGCCGCGGCCACGACCGCGTCCCTTCTTGTTCTTGTCCTCCGATGCCTGAGGGGCCGCGTGTAGTGAACCCTCCGCCTCCATCGCGTACACGTACTCGTAGAGCTGTGCCTGTCGCATGGCCACCTCGACGCCTACGAGGTCTGGAAGATTCACCTGATCCCAGCAGGCTAAGAACTCGATCATCCTCATGATGCTCTCGTAGTGGGCCACGCCGTAGTCATCGTTCGTCAAGTGATACTGACTCTTGAACTGCGTGAAGTGCTCCAGCGGGCCTCCGCGGCGTCGGTCGATGAAGATGAAGCACCACGCAGCCGAACGAGGGCCCTCCAACGGCCATCCTGGAAGCGGCGTCTGCTCGAACTTGGCGACAGCGTCCCGAAACTGGATCCGAGTGCGATGGCCATCTGACTGCAGTGCGATACCAAGGAGCCTGGCGTCAAGTCCAGCCTCAGCGCCAGCGTAGAGCGCCAGGCTGAGCGACACCCGTCGGATTCCGATCCAGCCCTTGTCGGTCCTCATGATCCCGACGTCGCCACCGAGTCGCTCCGTCCCATTCAGGGCCACAACCGTTCCGCGATCTCCCGCGGCGGTCGTCTCCGTCATCACCCACTCTGGAGCAGCAGGAGCCGCGAATGGACCTAGGCCCGCGACCGCCCCAGGGGCCGCCGCTGCCTGCCCAGGCGCCCCAGCGCCCACGGGTTGAGCAGCGGCCGCACCACCAGCAGCGACCCCAAGACCAGGTCCCCGCGCGGGCCCCACGCCCACCAGAGCGGCCGCACCTTCAGCGCTGCCTCCAGCAACGCCACCGTCGGCACCGACCAGTTGCTGCCCAGCTCCCGCGCCGCGCAGCCCGAAGTCGAAAGCCCGCAGCGCGCCCCCAGCAGGCAACACAGCAGCGCGGCCTCCAGCGGTCTCCCGAGCCAGGTAAGTCTCGTCGGCCACCTGAATCACCGCCGCCATGATTGCGGTCTCCTCATTCACAGTCAAGCGTCGCCTGAACCCGTATAGCAGCCCCGCATCCAGTCCTCCGCGGTCACGACGAGTGTCCACGAAGCGAACGCCCAGAATGTCAGCGCTGTCCCTGCTATAGTCTTCTTCGTAGACATCGTGATCAGGCGTGCTGCTGATCAGCAGCAGACGAGTCTGAGGTCCAGTTGGCGGATCCTCTACTTGCCCCCAGATCCGACGCTGATGCCACCGCCGCTCGCCGGCGTATAGCACCCACGCCCACGGGCGGACGTCCACCGGCGGGGCGACCATTGTCGATGGCGGCCGGAGATCGGCGGCCTGGTAGTCGCCAAGAGCACACGTTCTTCAGGCAAGAATATCCCAGGAGCACCACCGCCTGCACCAAAGCGATCAGCACGTGAAGCCACAGGGCCACGAGCTCGCCCAGCCAGCCGCCCGACTCCGAAGAGGCCTCGGTCGGTCCTGACGTTGGATCCTCACCCGGAACAGCGGCGCCAGAGGGCCCAGAAGCAGCAGCAGCCTCCGCCGCAGGCGGCGGCACAGGAGGTGTTGAGCTCTGACCTCCGCCGGCGGTCCCGCCGGCCTGCAAGGGATTCAGGCCCGTCGGACACTGCAGATGCGGGCAGCTGGGACAGTGCAAGGTGGGGCACGATGGGCAGCCAGGGCACGCAGGACAAGGCTGCGTCCGCCACCAGTATGCCGTGAGGAGCTGAGTGACGGCGCCCACGAGCCAAAACCCGTTGCGGAGTCCAGGCATCTGGACGCCACAAAAGCTTGAGCATTGATGCAACAACGGTCGCAACGGCGCCCTCTCATCCTAACTCGCAGAGAACACCAGGCACGCCAGAGCAATTCCCAATATTTTCCCATATTTTCTGGGTTTCTGTCTTCCCCCCCACTTCCCATATTTTCCCATATTTTCTGGGGGATCGACGAATAATTGTGTCTGTGTGTTTCTTCTCCTCCTGGTTTTGTTCGTCTAGTGTTCGGCCTCTCGGCTGCGGCCAGCCCGTGCAACTCCGGATGCGCGGGGAGGGCGCCAGGGCCTCGGACGCCCGTCTCAGGGCTTTTCTCGAGCGGGGCGCGGCCCACGGGAGCGGCCCAGGATGGACCGAGGGAGGAGGCCAGGACGCAAGGGTACCCTTGGGAAGGTCGCCCATCCTTGCGATGCGGGTTGACTGTGGTTATCGGCCCGCGGTCAGGAGGCAGCTGCTGAGAGGTCTTTGAGCCCCGTTGCGGGACTGTTGCGCTGGATTGGGCCGCGGATTGAGTCGGATCAAGCCGGATTGAGCCAAATTTAGCTGGGTTGCATGGGATCTGGCTGGATTAAGACGGTTTTCGGACCAGGGCAAAGTAAGAATGTGACATCCCAGGAGGTGCATCCGGATATCGGGGCCCTTGCTGCGCCTCGGCACCGTCACAAAAGAACGGCTCGGGAGGAAAAACTGGTCCCAGGGAAATGGTCGAGAGGTCGGGGCCGGCGTCTCGAAAAGAACGAAATGCGCCGGATGTGTCGGGGGGGGGGGGGGGCGGCGCGCAACAGGGAGTAGGGGGAGGGGTGAAGGCTTCTCAGAAGCACCCTGCTTCTTAGAAGGCATCGGCCTTACGTCTATAGAGAAGGCCCGCGCCTTCTAAGAAGCAGGGGTGCTTCTAAGAAGCCTTCCCCCCTCTCCCTACCCCCCTCTGCGCGTTGCCGAGGGGGGCTCGTGGGGGCTCGACAGCGCCAGCGGTCGCGGGCGCGGGGGGGGGGGGAGTCCGGCGGGGCGCGCCGAGCGCGAGGCGCGCGGAGCAAGCTCATGCCCGAAACCCCCTTCCCCGCGCGCCCGCTCGGGGATGGTGCGCTTCCCGCGCGGCAGCTGATGCCTGAGCCCCCCTTTCCGCGCGCGCCTGCTCAAGGATTGCGCACTTCCCTCATGGCTGCTGCCTCCTGGACCGCGCATCCCACGCGCGCCCGCTCGAGGATCGTGCACTTCCCATATCCCCAGGCGCTGCTCCCAAGCGCTCCAGGGCCTCCCAAGCCGCGATCCCTTGTTCAAAACGATGGGCATGCGCCCCGAATTTCCAAGGCGGCCCGCGCAGACAACCAAGGACACCAAGATGGGCCAAGATGCTCCCCCCCCAAAAAAACCCAAGATGGCACCAAGGCGGCCGAACATGCCTCCAAGAGGGCGCAGAAGGGAGGACCTCCAACAGGGCCCGGATTGATTTCCACTGGATGTTTGAAGAGGTTCGCATTCTCGCATGTTCGGGCTGCCATCAGCTCAAGACGGCCCAAGAGAAACCCACGGTGGCCCAAGAGGCATCCAAGACGGCCCCAAGGCGGCCCAAGAGGGCCTCCCGTGGGACCGAAGACGGTGTTCGAAGGCCCTCTGACGGCCCCAGACAGCGCGAAGGCGGTCCCACGACAGGCCCCCCGGCACCCACAAGACGGCCAAGAGGGCCCCGAGACGGCCCAAGAGAACCCCAAAGGCGCAAGAGGGTCCCAAGGGCGGCCCCAAGGGAGCCCCAAGACTACCCTACCGGGAAGCCAAGACAGCCCCAAGACGGCCCGATCATCACCACCACCACCATCACCGCCGGTCATCATCACCACCACCACCACCACCATCATCAGCATCAGCATCGTCATCACCGATTTATCGATCTATCGAGCCAGGCGCGCGACGGTGCCAGCGGCGCCTGAACAGAGGATCCGGCACGCCAACGCGCACGCCAACGCGCGGGCCAGGTCCCCCCCCCCCTCCTCCTCCTCCTCCTCCTCCTCCTCCTCCTCCTCCTCCTCCTCCTCCTCCTCCTCCTCCTCCTCCTCCTCCTCCTCATCCTGGGTGGTGGAGAACCCCCCCAGTCACGACTCCCAGTGAGAGATGCCCCAGCTGGGGAGGCTGAGGGGGGCTCACAGGAGACCTGCGCGACCGAGAAGGCAGACAGGGAGGCACAGCACAGCCGGTCCCCCGGACGAGGCTCCCAGAAGAGGGACCCCATGGTCGGGAAGACCAGGTTGCTTCACAGGAGACCTGCACATCCAGGAGAATGGGTGGCACTCAGGTCCCCCGAGGCTCCGGTGCACCGCCAGACACCGAGGCACCCCTCCTGGGGCCATCATCATCATCATCATCATCATCATCATCATCATCATCATCATCATCATCATCATCATCATCATCATCATCATCATCATCATCATCATCATCATCATCATCATCATCATCATCATCATCATCATCATCATCATCATCCTCATCCTCATCATCATCCATCATCCTCATCCTCATCCTCATCCTCATCCTCATCCTCATCATCCTCATCATCATCAGCAGCAGCAGCAACATCATCAGCAGCAACATCATCATCATCAGCAGCATCATCATCATCATCCTCATCATCATCATCATCATCATCATCATCATCATCATCATCATCATGATCATCACCATCATCACCATCATCACCATCACAATCACCATCACCATCACCATCACGACCACCACCACCACCACCACCACCACCACGACCACCACCACCATCATCATCATCACCACCACCATCATCATCATCATCATCACCACCATCATCATCATAAACATCATCATCATCGTCGTCATCATCAACATCAGCATAATCATCAGCAGCAACAGCATCAGCATCATGGTCATCATCGTCATCGGCATCGTCATTGTCATTGTCATCGTCATCAGTAGCAGCCTCGTCATCATCATCATCATCATCATCATCATCATCAGCATCATCGTCATCATCATCGTCATCATCATCATCATCAGCATTATCATCATCAGCACCAGCAGCATCATCAGCGTCATCAGCATCATCATCATCAGCAGCATCATCAACATCAGCGTCATCCTCATGATCAGCAGCATCATCAGCATCATCAACATCATCAGCATTATCAACGTAATCATCCATATTATCATCATCGGCATCATCAGCAGCAGCATGATCACCACCACCACCATCATCGTTATAACCATCATCACCGCCGATCAGACACGGTGGCTGGACTTGCCGCCGGCAGCTGGATAGGGCGGAAATGTCTGCCCAACTTTTCTAAATCCTTTGGTGTCGATCTCCACCCGGCTTTGCCGTCGCCGTGTCTGCCATACCTTCGCGGAAGTGTCCGCCCTACTTTTCTGAGGCGGAAATTGTCGCCCTACTTGTTCGCATCGCTTGGGCTGCATTTCCGACACACTTGTTGTTTGCCAGCTCGAACCGTGCAACGCGGTTGCTGCGGGTTCGACATGCGGCGGCCCGGACATCGTGGAACGTCTGCGACCAGCCAGCACTGCCGTGGTGCACGAGGGGACTGCCTTCTGCGACCTCCCTCGGCGCACCTGGCGAGCTGAAGTCTGATCTGGCACGGCTTTGACTGCTTGGTCAGTATCAGCAAAACTGTAGTGCACAGCACACTGTCGGAAGGCGCATCAAACATTCAAGCCCTCGGACGGACTACAGCTTGAGCCGGAAAATCCGCCAGAGTGCGGCGGATCCGAAGTCGGGGCCCGCTGCCTTCCCAAGACCGTGTGGTGCCGGGCCGCGCCGTGACCTCGAAACCCTGGGAGACCTCGCCGTGCTGTCCTTCACTGCGCGGCCTTGGGACCGCGGAGGCCACGGTCGCCCGAGACACCCTCGGAGAACGAGGAGGACGAGGAGGAGGACGAGGAGGAGGAGGAGGAGGAGGAGGAGGAGGAGGAGACCCGAGTCCCAAGACCGAGCGGTGACCCCGAAGACGCACTGGCTCACCACGCCAGCCCCCCTCCGCACGTCTGGCCTCTGGGCCATGGCTCGGGCCGAGGTCTCCGGCGGCCGCTGGAGGCGAGCGGGGCAGGCCCCGGGAACGCTCCTCGGCGAGGCGGAGCGGCCGGGGCGCAGCCCGAGGCACGGAAACCCTCGGGAACCGACGAAAGCGCCGGAAAACCCCGAGGACAGCATGCGGCAACCCCGAATCCAGACCCCCGACGTCGTGACTCCTGCACCACGTCGCGCCCAGAGCTCTGGGCCCCTTCCCCAGGGCAGGCCTTTCCTCCTGGGTCGTTTCTTGACGGTCCCAGGGCCCGGTATAAGGGCCCCCGGAGGCCAACACCAGAGAGAAGCCTCCCGCCGTGATTTTGTTCCCTACCTAGGCTCTGCCTAGAAGGGTTCTTACCCTCTACCTTAAAGGGACCGGGCAGTGGGCTTCGCCCCGGGCGGTTCCCCCAGGATCCGCCCCGCGGTTCCCCCAGTTACGTCCCCTTAGCTTAGCGTTGCTTATCTCATCTTAGCTTAGTTTATTTAATCTTAGCTTAGCTTAGCTTCATCTCAGTTCAGGTTTATCTTAGCTTAGATTACCTTCATCTTAGCATCGCTGAGCTTTAGCATAGCAGAGCACAGCATAGCATAACATAGCGTAGCATAGCATAGCGCAGCACAGCATATCATAGCATAGCCCAGCATAACATAGCATAGCGCAGCACAGCACAGCACAGCATAGCACAGCGCAGCATAGCATAGCACAGCATAGCAGAGCAGAGCATAGCATAGCATAGCAGCAAAGCAAAGGCAAAGCAACAGCAGCGGTAGCTTTAGCTTAGCTTTAGCTTAGCTTTAGCTTAGCTTTAGCTTAGCTTTAGCTTAGCTTTAGCTTAGCCTTAGCTCAGCTTTAGCTTAGCTTTACTGTTACTACTAATGCTGCTTTCCTAGGGGCTCCAACTCGTAGGCAGGGTCGCACTGGGATAATTCACAACGCGAAAGGGCCTCGGAGTAAGAAAAAACGGCATAAACTCACACTTGTGGTGCTCCGCGCGGATTTCTTGGATCTGCGCTGGACACCCCCCCCCCCTCCCTGGCGCGCGGAGCGCACCAGGGGCGGCGCCGGAGGCGCCGCTGGGGGGTCCCGGGCGCCCATCCAAGAAATCCGCGCGGAGCGCCACAAGTCTATGTTTATGGCGCTTTCCCTTCGAGGCTCGGGAGACCCCCACGCACCAGCCGCGCGGTGAGGTCGCCAGCCACCGTCTGGGGGCCCCGGCTGCCGTCCCCGACCGACCCTGAGGTCCGACGCAGCGACAAAATTACAACATCGTGGAACTCCGCGCCCGGAGCCCCGCACCCCCTCTTCCTGCGTCATTTCTCCAGCCGCATCGACCTGTGAGGGTCCCAGGGCCCGAGGAGAGGCGAAAACGCCCGGCTCGCTGTGCCGAGCTCTGCTGAGCAGTGCTGTGCTGTGCTGTGCTGTGCTGTGCTGTGCTGCGCTGTGCTGTGCTGTGCTGTGCTGTGTGAGCAGGGGAAAAGGGAGGAGGAGGTGAAGGTGAACGCGAGCGCGGCGCGGCAGGGAAGAAAACCAGAACCCCACGAAGCATGTGGGGAAACATGGAGTCGCCAGGACCTCCGGGGAGCGGGCAGGGCGGCGGGCGGCGGCCAGGGCCCGCGCCCGCGGGCGGGGCCAGCAGCACCGTGCTGGTGCCGGTGTCCACCAGGAAGCGCACGCTGGTCGGGGCCTCCTGCGCGCGTGGAGGGCGTCCCAGGCAGGACCGCGCGCGCCGTAGAAAAAAACAGCAACAACAACAACAAAAAAAAACAAATATATATATATATATATATATATATATACAACAAAAACAAACAAAAAACAAACAAAACAAAAAAAACGGGGCGGGAGGCCCGAGGGTCCTGCTGCTCCCACCGTACTTTCAGGACCAGCTCCCAGGCATGCTTTCGAGCACCCAAGAGCAGTGCCCAGACACGATCGCGTCGTGAGAAAAATCAGGACGGGAGGTTTTTGGCTACATTCGGCCCCAGGGGGCCCTCGGGACCGCCCAAAATACGACTCGGGACGGAAAACCCGTCCGGGGGAAAGGGTCTGGACTTCCAGGGACGCCGTCCTGAAAAGATCAGGACGTCGCACATCTGGGCTGACGACCTCGTGTGTCCCTCGGCTCGCGCTAGAGCTTCCACGACTAACTGCAGCTTCGCTTGGACACCTCTGGATGTTTACGCAGGTTTGTGCGGATGTGCTTGGATTGGTTGGTGTGTACATCTGCGTATCTGGATCTGTTGCTTCCGACGCCCTGCATACTTGCACGCTGGTGTTTCGACTCAGTCTCAGTCGCCCCTGCCACCCGCCCGCTGCTGGGCCGCCGCGTGAGGCCTCGGCTTGCTGCGTTAGACGTGGCTTGCCCCCGCTGCCCTCGCTTAATTCGTCTCGGCGCAGCCCGCTTTGACCTGACTCGCCGCCGGCGCGCTCGCCCGCGGCCGCTGACAAAAAGTATCTGGATCTGCCTCCGTTCCCCCTGGCCGCACCCCCGCCGGTCGATTGGACGGACACCGTCGGGCCCTCAGGGGGGCGCGCGCCCGCGGCCCGCGGCCCGGAGGCCCCCCAGGGCCCCGCGGGGCCTCAAGAAGGCTCTGGCAGCTCCCTGGCTTCGGGCCCTGGGATCCTCCCAAGCCGACCCATCTCTCGACAGATGCCTCCCGGGGAAAGGGTCGGGACTTCCAGGGACGCCGTCCTGAGAAGATCAGGACGTCGCACTTCTGGGCATCGAAACGGTGCCGACCGAGCAGCGCCTCCCAGAGCCCGACGCGCGCAGGCCCTCCAGCGTCGGTGCTTTCCTGGTGCTCGCAGTCCTTTCAGGTGCTGCAGGCTGAAGTACGCGTCGTTCATTTCTGATCGTGCTCACTTCTGATTCTGCTCGCTTCTAATTTTTGCCCTGGCCCCCTGGTGGCCAGGAAGAGGCCCAGGAGGGAACAATCAGAAATGAGAGGATCTTGGCCCACCAAAAAAATCGAAGATTTCTCGAAGAATTAAGGATGAACCACGTGCAGGTCCCAGACCCCCGACGTCATGATTTTTTCATTACGTCGACCCCTGGAGGTCTCGACCCATTCCCCTGGACCGGTTTTTCATCCTGAGCCGTTTCTTCACGGTCCCGAGGACCGGTAAGGGCCCCCAGAGGCCGAAAATGACCAAAAACCTCCCGTCGTGTTTTTTTCATTACTCGAGGGGGTCTGGGGTTGGACCATCAGAACCCGGAAGGGCCCGATGGGCTCTCACAGCGGTCGGCGCTGCCGTGCACGGCGGGCGGAGCACCTCTTGGCGCTGGGCCTCGCCCCGGCGCCTCGGAGCAGACGTGTTCGCGGCCGGGCGGCTCGCCCAAGCGCCGCCCGCCCGCGGGCGCGGCGGGGACCCGCGGCCGTCGGGCGAGTCTTCCTGCTCCGCCTCCTCCTCCTGCCCCTCGGACGACGACCACGACGACGACGATTCCTCCTCATCCTAATCCTCCTGCTCCGCCTCCTCCTCCTCCTCCTCCTCCTCCTCCTCCTCCTCCTCCGACGACGACGACGACGACGACGACGACGACGACGACGACGATTCCTCCTCCTCCTCCTCCTCCTCCTCCTCCTCCTCCTCCTCCTTCTCCCTCATCACCCCCCCCGTCGACGACAACGACGACCACGATTCCTCCCCCTCATCTCCTCCTCCTCCTCCTCCTCTCTCCTCCTCATCATCATCATCATCATCATCATCATCATCATCATCATCATCGTCATCATCATCATCATCATCATCATCATCATCATCATCACCACCACCACCACCACCACCACCACCATCATCATCATCATCATCATCATCATCATCATCATCATCAGCAGCAGCATCATCAGCATCAGCAGCATCACCATCACCTTCAGCATCATCATCATCAGCATCATCATCATGAGCATCATCACCATCACCATCACCATCATAATCATCATCATCATCATCAGCATCACCATCATGATCAGCATCATCATCACAACCATCATCATCATCATCATCATCATCATCATCATCAGTATTATCATCATTATCATCATCATCATCATCATCATCATCATCATCATCATCATCATCATCATCATTAGCAGCATTACCATCATGATCATCGTCAACATCATCAGCAGAAGCAGCATCAGCATCATCAGCATCATCGTCAGCATAGCATCATCATCATCATCATCACCATCAGCATCATCATCAGCAGCATCAGTATCATAATCATCATCCTCATCATTATCGTCCTCGTCATCATCATCATCATCATCATCATCATCATCAGCATCAGCAGCATCAGCATCACCATCAGCATCAGCATCGTCATCATCATCCTCGTCATCATCACTCATCAGCAGCAGCATCATCAGCAGCATCAGCATCATCATCACCAGTATCATCATCATCATCATCATCATCATCATCATCATCACCATCATCATCATCGTCACCACCACCACCACCACCACCATCATAATCACCATCATCATCATCAGCATCACCATCATGATCAGCATCATCATCATCATCATCATCATCATCATCATCATCATCATCATCATCATCATCATCATCATCATCATCATCATCATCATCATCATCGTCATCTCCTCCCCTCTCCTCCCCTTCCTCCTTCTCCAACTTCTCATCTGCACATTCCTCCTCCGACGGCAGGGCCAACGATCTCACTCCTGGGCACGCTCAGGCTATCTGAACATCGGATTGGCGGCCGACTCGCCTGTCTGTTCCACTGAATGCTCCAACACGGCCCTGGATAAGGCAACTCCCCCTGCGATTAGGTCGGGCATGTCCCACTACAGGCGGATTTGGGATGAAAAATCAGAAATACCCCATCCAAAATAGTCAAAAAACTGTCGAAAATTCTCCCCATACTATTTTTAAACTAGTTTTGAATACTCCTCCTGTAAGGGGACAGGCCCGACTTAAACCCTGCGACAGTTTCTGATGGGCTGGTGGGGGTACGAAAGGCGCCAAGACTGCCACGTGCGAGAAGCAATCCGACGCACCCTGCTTCGTACTCCTCTTGTCTTGGGCCAAAGGCCCGACAACACAAAGGGAACCCTTGGCCAAAGCCCTCTCCGGGAAAACGGTTACATGGATGGACGTTGCTGCTTCCGCCGGCTTCCGCTGGGAAAACACCCTCGCCTTGTTCCCGCCGCCTCCCATGAGCCTCCCGCCGCCTTCCGCCAAGCAAGAAAAATCAACCAAGGACCGGCCACAACGATGTTCAAAACGAAATGGCGCTTCACACGAAAAACCAGACGAAGCCCAACGTTTCAAACGAAGAGTAAGCCGAAACCGGTGCCAAACGAAACGATCACCGAGACGAGGCGTTGAAGGCAAAAACGAAGAACCAAACAAGACGACAACGAACATCGACACGAAATACGAAACAAAAGGCCCACGCAATGCTAAACAGCGGTGTGGAGGGTCCTTGAAGCCAGCCCCATTGATCTCTCGAAGGCGAGGCCACCGCTGGATCAACCTCGCCCTCCTCAACAATCTCCTCCTTCTTCTCCTCCTCCAGGTGCTCCCCCTGCCCCTCCTTACTTTGATGGGCAAAGTTTCCACCACCACCACCATACTTAGGACGGGGGAGAGGGGAGGACGAGGAGGTCCTCCTCCTTCTCCTCCTCCTCCTCCTTCTCCTTTCTCTCTCTCTCTCTCTCTATCTCTCTCTCTCTCTCTCTCTCTCTCCCCTACACACTGTAACGGTGGTGGAAAATGGACCCGTCATAATTACCCCCTTCCGTCTCCTCCCGCTCCTGACTGTCCCACGCCCTGCCCGTATCCCTCTTCTCTTCCTCGCTGTCCCACGCCCTCCCTCCCAGGCATCCGACGCCGAGATGGGCTTTGCTGCCGCGCGGAGACCGCCCCAGGGGTCCACACACCCGCCTCCCGGGGGACCAGCTCCTCTCACCCCGAGACCCGTCGCTGGCAGAAGGCCCCCGCGGCCCAGCGAGGGGCTCCTCCCGCCCCAGAGGCCGAAGACTGCCAGAGACTCACGCCGCAGGACGCTTCACGGCGAGAGGACAGCTGGGCCCTCCCCAGACACGATTGCGTCGTAAAAAAAATATCAGGACGGGAGGTTGTTGCCAGTTGTCGGCCTCGGGGGGGCCCTCGCCGGGCCTCGGGACCGCCAAAGGACGAGGCGGAACGAGAGAGGTCTGGACAGCTTCCCTGAGGACAACGTCTCGCCCGGGTTCCCTGTTGGACGGCACCGAAGCCCGGGTCCGGCCCCTGGAGGCCGAAGCGAAGGGAGACCGTCGCGGCTGAATAGTCCCGTCCGCCCGAGATTCCACGCAGGAGTGGCCCGAGGCAAGAGTGACCTCTGCTGCGCGGCGGCTTCATGGGGCCGCGGGGGCACGCCAGCCAGGCGCGCAGGCCCCGTGCGGGGGGAGATCCCCGTGGGCCCGCACCGAGGTAAGACGACGGAGAGCGGTAGGAAGTAAACTGCTCCGCCGCCAGGGGTGCCTGCCCCAGGGCGGCTGGAGAGCTCATACCCTGACGGTGGCACGTCGGGGTATAAACTTTCCAGCCGCCGTGGGGCAGGCGCCCCCGACGGCGGAGAAGCTCATCGTGGACTTGGAGGAACAACGAACTGCGTGAGCATAAACTGCTGGCGCTCCGCGCGGATCTATTGGAACCAGCCAGGGGGGCCCAGCGCCGACCCAAGAAGTCTGCACGGAGCTCCGAAAGTTTGCTTGCGCATGCCGCTTCTGGCTCTTCGTATACGTACCGCTCTTCGCCGGCCACTTCAAAGGTCCTCCTCCTCCTCCTCCTCCTCCTCCTCCTCCTCCTCCTCCTCCGAAAGGTCCGTCCTACGTGTCGCCGACCTGGGCTCCTGACCGCCTCCCTCCCAGCGGGAAGGGGGGGGGTCCTGCCGCACGGCGAGGCCCCCCGACACGACCCAGAAGGTCCTCTGGGGCCCCGGGCCGCCGCCCTCGGCGCCGGGGCCCCCGCCGGGCTCGAAGACCTCGGCGGCGGACGGCACCGACGCCGACGTGGGCGCCGCCGCTGACGCGCTGACGTTGGCGTTGATGTTGACGTCGACGCTGGCGTGCAGGTTGGCGCTGTCATTGACGTTGATGCGGCCTTGGCGTTGACGATGGAGCTGAAGACGACGCTGAGGCTGGTGGCGACGACGACGACGACGGCGACGACGACGGGCGGAGAAGGGGGTGGGGGAGGAGGACTTATCTGTGCTTCCTTTGGTGCGAAGGAGACGGGGCACTAGGAGAAACGGGTCCCAGACATCGAAACCTTCCCGGGGACCAGCCCTCCATCCCGAGAAATGGTTTCACGGCCCTGGGGACCTGGAGACGAAAAAACGGAAAACCTCAAGACCCGCTTCCCTCAAGACCCGTTTCCCTCAGGACCCTCATTCGCAGCACCGCCTCCAAGAGGTATTCCGTGACATCGGGCCTTGCCCTTGCAGTGCCACGTTCACGCGGGTGTCTGGCTCGAAGGTGAAGCTCTTGAGTGGTGTATGCGCATGCTACGACAGACTATGGGGACTATGACGTCGGCCCCGGGCGCACCTGGACAGGGCGCGTCGAGGCCCTGGAGCAAAAGACGGGGACGCGAGGGACCGGCGGTGGTCGCCGTCAAGGCTGACCTGCATGATGCACTGGTGCTCCTCGGAGTCGGGTCGCCCCGCCTCCGATCCTGGCCCTCCTCATACGATTCACGAGGCAGGCGTGCAGCCGCGACCAAGCTTGGCGCAGCACCTTCTTCGCGCTCATCTTCAATATACGTGTGAACGCCACGCGTTCGTAATCGATGTGCGCAGTGTGCGTGTGTATTGACATTGTTATGCTAGGTAGCTCATCGCCAGCGCAGCTACGCTACCCAGCCGCCGACGCAAAAAAAGTGCATTGGTAGGCTTCTGCTTTGGCATGTCCAGAGGCCTCCTGACGAGGAGACGGCTCAGGTGGTCGTTGCGGACACCCGCGGCGGCATCCATCGGCGAGCAGCGGGCGCCCGCGCGGGCGCACTTTTGAGGGAGGAGGGGGAAGGGGGACGAGCCGCGCCTCGCCTGCGCCGGCGCAGGCGAGGCGTCGCCGAGGCGCGCAAGAGCGCCCCCCCCCGTGGCAACGCTGACGCCTGGTGCCCAGCTGCCGGCCTGCCGCGGAGGGGCCGAGTCCCAGCGCGCAGGCCAAGGATCGGGTGGGCCCGGGTGGGCCCGCAGCGAAGAGGCGCTGTGGCGCAGGGCCGCCCTGGCATGTGGACTGCCTACCAGGCCGCCCCCAACCCAACCCGAAGGCCCGAAGTTCGGGTTGGGGGGGCACGGGCTTCACATGTGCCCTTTCACATGTTCACCGACTTCCCTCCCCACTGGAAGTGGGGGGCAGATCGGGGCATTCGGGTTGGGTTGGGGTGGCTTGGCGGGTGGTGACGTGTAGCCGATGCGTCCGCGCGCGCCTGCTCCGCCCAGGGGTGGGGGTCCCTGGCAGCCCCCGGGGATGGCCCTGCGCGAAGCAGGGGGCCGCGCGCACCCGTGCGCGAGCAGCGCGCCGCTCCTCCTCAACCTCCTGGCACGGCGGAGGGCGGTCTATCCGCTCGCCCGCGCAGACAGTGACCGTCTCCAGCATCAATACAACGACGTAGGGCGCGGCGGTCTTCCTCCTCCTC